AGGGGCTACTGATAGACTCCTAGGGGCTACTGATAGACTCCTAGGGGCTACTGATAGACTCCTTGCCGGCTGAGTACATGTGGAGCCATCTGTAGGTAGCAAAATTCACCAAAACCAACAGGGGACAGAACATAAATCCGTGGCCAATGGGTTAATATTATAATGTTTTTCAATAGAAATAATAATTCATTTATAATAATAATAATTAATGGGTTAATTTCCTCAACTCTTTAAGATTAAGAGAGGAGGAGGGTAGCAACTCTCTCTCTCTCTCTCTCATCTAACTGTATAACTCTATTATTAATATAATTATAGTTAATAACTAATCCACTATCTAACTCTATCATTAATATAATAATAGTTAATAATTAATTAACTATCTAACTCTATCATTAATATAATAATAGTTGATAATCAATTAACTATCTAACTCTATCATTAATATAATAATAGTTAATAACTAATCCACTATCTAACTCTATCATTAATATAATAATAGTTAATAACTAATCCACTATCTAACTATCATTAATATAATAATAGTTAATAATTAATTAACTATCTAACTCTATCATTAATATAATAATAGTTAATAACTAATCCACTATCTAACTCTATCATTAATATAATGATAGTTAATAATTAATTAACTATCTAACTCTATCATTAATATAATAATAGTTAATAACTAATCCACTATCTAACTCTATCATTAACCCATTGCCGCCGGGGAAAATGAACAAAAAAATGGGGGAAATGCAGTACTCATTTTTTATATTTTTGTGAAATATCTCTGCACATAGATGGCTCTGCTAGTCCTGATTTCACTTTTCCTCGAATTGGCAGGAAAAAAAACGTATTTTTACTAGTGCTATAAATAGAGATGGTGTTATTTCTAACAGCAAATTAGGATAACGTTAAATATTTTCGTAAATCGATGAAAAGGGTGAGCGGGTGAGACAGGCAGTACTCGTAATTGGCTCATTGGATACTTAGTACAAGTGTAGCCATCTATGTGTAAAAACAATCGAACAAGTCGACTCGCAGTGGGCATGGCATGTACGTAAATGCCATGTACGTCCATGCCATGTACGTCCATGCCATGTACGTCCATGCCATGTACGTACATGCCATCCCCGGGGGCAATGGGTTAAGTCCAACTCTCTTTAATTAAACCAATGGGCATGGCGTGTACCTACGTGCCATGCCCGCTGTGAGTTTACTTGTTTTTATTATTACTATTATATTACAGTACTTATTACTTCAGTATTAAATGACATTCAGTATTGTATATTATCTCGAAATTAATAATAAGAAAATAAAAGCAATAATAAGAAGAAAATAAAAGCTATAATAATAAGAAAATAAATAATCTCTTCTGCAACGTCTATGATTATTTTTGAAGGAATGACTATTCGTATTTGTGATTGTTATTATCATCATCATTATCATTATAGATTGTTCTTATTATTTTTTTTATTATTTTTATTATCATCATTATTGTTACTGTTATCATTGTTATTATTGTTAATATTATTATTACCATTATTATTATTATTATTATTACCCATTGAAGGCAAATATTATTATTATTGTTGTTGTTTTTTTTGTTTTTTTTGTTATTAGTATTACTAATGTTATTATTATTATCATTATCATTGTTATTATTATTATTATTATCATCATTATTATTACCATTATTATTATTATTGTTGTTGTTGTTTTCACTATTATTATTATTTGTTTATTTATTAATCATTATTTATTTTATTATATTAGTTTATTTATTATTATTTGTTTATTATTTATCTATAATTATTATTATTATTATTATTGGTAATACTTTACGGTACGGACGCACTCGCCAGAGACTAAGTCCCCAATTCTAGCCAACAATCTTGAGGGACACGTGGGGAGCCGGAGGTTTGGGGGGGGGGGGGTAGCCTGTTTGATTTGAGTGCCAGTAAATGACCAAAGGAAATTATAAATGCGACGTTTCGGATATGCGAGCCAAACTTTCTATTTGCGAAGACTAAAGAATGCTTTTCGTATATTCGTGCCATAATTCATATCTATGCTGAAAGAATGCGAGCCTTTGATCAACGCGGTTAACGGCACAATATTTACTCCACAGTCCAAGTTGCCGTGACTGGGCGTGCCTGAGGGGAGGGTTGATTCTCTTCATTCTCTTCACCTCGATCTGTACGGTAAGATAGAGCTTGATACAGGTCTTCGTGTTTTACTTGTTTTACCAGTTTATTTATTTCCTTAGCCAAGGGGGCATGGCTACCCTGGACCCCTCTTTTGCTTTTACCGAAAAGGATATGCAGTGCAAGAAAAAACGTTCGCGCCGAAAGAGTGGAAGTCCGCTTTTTCCTTTTTGCATTCTATAAGAATGTCACCTTCAATTTGCCCTAGCTTAGTGCGTCCAAACATTAATATTATTATTATTATATTATTTATAATTATTACTTTTATTATTATTATTATTAATAAATTATTTATTATTATTATTTTTATCATTATCATTATTATTAATATTATCATATTATCTATTATTATTATTATCTTATTTATTATTATCATAACAATAATTAGGTTAATGTTACCGAGAGCGACGCACGCAGATAGAGCAAAATGAACATTGCCATCTTGTAGAGCATCAAAAATAGAGTAGGAATCAATACATCTAATTCTGCAGCGGCCTCATATTTACCGGGAAATGACAAGAATAGGCTCTGCATGGCCCCGCTCTGAGACTAAGTCCCCATCCATGTTTACCTTGCCAGGACCAAAACAAAAGTGACGCGTAACTCATTATTGCGATCTATCAAGTAGTCCATGTATTACTACGCGCTTGTGAAAACGACTATTTTGTAATTACCAGTGTCTGTTTTTCCGAATCCATGCATTTAATGAATTCTTTTACTTTTATTCTACTTCTTTTACGTGTTTTGGTAATTATTTACACTATTTTGCACAATATCCCTGTGCGCGTGTGCGATTTTTCCAGCGGGAGATTTGACAGTCCGTCCGCCGCCATTCGTCCCGAAACACCAGTGGGAAGTGTCACATTTCAGGTGTGTTGCGTCGATTCTGGGTCATTTTTAAAGCCATATAGTGGATATATAAAACCAATAGATATTAGTGTCTATCTCAGCCTGATACATGAGCCCAATAAGTGTCCCAAATGTCGAAAAAAGTGATTAGAAACCAAGGAACTCGGACCATAGACGGAAGCCAAGAAAAGTTTGGTCTTTCGCTAAATAAAGGTATGTGGTTTTACCCTGGGGGTTCAGAGGGCAGAGCCCCTTGGCTAGGGAATATATAAATCGTATTTTATTAAAACCACGGGGGTCCAGGGGGCGAAGCCCCCTGGCTAGGCGCATATAGTACTGCGGGGGTCCAGGGGGCATAGCCCCTTGGCTAGGCGCGTATAATTAGGCTAGGTTAGGCTAGGTTAGGTTAGGCTAGGTTAGGCTTGGTTAGATTAGGTTAGGCTAGGTTTATAAATTACTAGGGGGTCTAGGGGGCTACGCCCCCTGGCTAGGCGCATTTAATACCACGGGGCTAGGGAATTAATAGATCGTAGTGTATAAATCCCACAGGGTTAGGTTAGGTTGGTTTATTGGTTAGGACGTATTGTACGATTACCACAGGGGATCTGGATTATCTGAAATCCCGTAGATTTTTACCGATGACTGGGTTTGATTCCCGTAGAGTTTTTAGAAAATTGGCGTGCCGGTCCGTAGAGTTTCAAAGGTGGCGGGAATGTCCGTAGAGTTTTCACATGTCGATTTTCATCGGTTTTTGTGCTTTTCGGGACGGAAATTTGGCTCGGGTTTCCGAAAAATCGACTTTTTTTTAACGTTTCTTAAATCACTTTCTTCGATTTCTGCAGGTTTCTATCGACATCCAGCGCCATACATTATCCCCCCCCCCCTTCAACCCCCGGTTCCCCACGCATCCCCCAAGATCGTTGGGTAGAGGAAACTTCAAAAAAAGCGTCGCTCTCGGTAACAATTACCAATAATCATTATTATTATTATCTTATTTATTATTATTATAATTATTATTACTATATTATTTATTATTACTTTTATTATTATTATTATATTTATTATTATTATTATTATCAATATTATTATTATTAATATATCATTTATTATTATTATTTAGAAAGAATAAAGAAGAAGAAGATTATTATTATTATCATTATTATTATTATTAATATATTATTTATTATTATTATTATTATCATTATTGATTTACGAAAATATTTAATGTGATTTTGCTGTTAAAATTTGTTAAAATTGGTCGAAAAGGAAAGGAAAGGAGAAGAGAAGAGAAGAGAAGAGAAGAGAAGAGAAGAGAAGAGAAGAGAAGAGAAGAGAAGAGAAGAGAAGAGAAGAGAAGAGAAGAGAAGAGAAGAGAAGAGAAGAGAAAAGAAAAGAAAAGAAAAGAAAAGAAAAGAAAAGAAAAGAAAAGAAAAAGAAAAAGAAAAAGAAAAAGAAAAGGAAAAAAGAGAAAAGTAAAGAAAAGAAAAAAGAAAAGAAAAGAAAAGAAAAGAAAAAAAGAGAAAAGTAAAGAAAAGAAAAGAAAAGTAAAGAAAAGAAAAGAAAAGAAAAGAAAAGAAAAGAAAAGAAAAGAAAAGAAAAGAAAAGAAAAGAAAAGAAAAGAAAAGAAAAGAAAAGAAAAGAAAAGAAAAGAAAAGAAAAGAAAAGAAAAAAAGAGAAAAGTAAAGAAAAGAAAAAAAAGAGAAAGGAAAAGAAAAGAAAAAAAAGAGAAAAGTAAAGAAAAGAAAAAAAGAGAAAGGTAAAGAAAAGAAAAGAAAAAAAAGAGAAACGTAAAGAAAAGAAAGAGAAAAGAAAAAAGAAAAGAAAAGAAAGAAAAGTAAAGAAAAGAGAAAAGAAAAGAAAAGAAAAGAAAAGAAAAGAAAAAAAGAGAAACGTAAACAAAACAAAAAAGAAAAGAAAAATAGCCTGACAATCAACACTAAC